ATTGTGACCACAAAGACAGTGACAGTATGAGCATCTTTAACTTGAAAATGCCATTTGGTTTATATCTGATACTGTGAGATAATATATTCAGATTTACTATAATTATAACTTCAAACCAGAACACTTGTGTACCAAGATGAACTATGTATAAAGACCACCTATGTACCAAGCCTCCAGGTTCTTGAGATATCAGGTGAGAAACTAATTGATTGATTGACTGATGTTTTGACATTAATTGAGAATGACAGCAGACGCCGCTGATCATTCGATTACTGTAAAATACTTATTTAGCTTGGGATTCATTTTTGTTATTTTTGCTGAAGGAGCGATTCAGTGAAAATAAAATCCAGCGAATATACCTTTTTTTCCTATATTTTACATTCAACTTGTCAGAAATCAGTGAAAATAAATTCCCTACAAAAAACCCAAAAAGTTATTACAGCGAAAATTAATTCCAGCTAAAATAAAATCATATTACTATATCTCACAGAATTATGCTGTATTAACGATATTACATTATGCAGTGATCAAATTATTAGGGTATTAAAAAAAATGATAAACTGAAAAAAAAAAAAAATTAATACACAAAATACAAAGGATATCAGTGACTTCTTGCGGCCTAATGGTATAACCTTCTTCATCTACAACTGGGGTTCTCTGCAATGGGAAAATTTCATAATTAGGAAAAAAGATGTAGAATTTAAATCTAGTAATCTTGTTTTATTGCTGCAGTGCTACAAATAGAGCACTATTATTCATTCAGTGAAGATTTGAGTGATACTTGTATGTATAGAAATAACAATCTGAATGACGGGTGTTGAAAATTGAATGCGTATATAGTATATTTCAACTAACTAAGGGAGAGGGTAATACTAACCATGCATTTTTTCTGCACGTAACACAACGCAAACAAAAAGTAAAAAATTTGTGAATCAATTACAGACAACAGACTCTGCGAGTGGCGACAATGAATGCATCAATCCTTTTAGGCATTCATATGCTATGCAGCAAAGAACACAGCCTTCCATCATGGGAAGTTTCATGGAGCTTCAACGGTAGACCTATCTCTGTGAAACATAATCTACTTTATTAAGATCTTGAATGAAATCAGCAAATTTTCAAATTTTCTAGAGAAACATTTATATTGACACATAAACACAAAATGCAATAAAAGAATATTTGACATCAGGAACGTACATGTATATTAAACACAAAATTAGAAATAAGTAAAACAGACCATACTAGTTACATGTGTTAGTACAGTGCACAACTCACCACAGTGGTGTTGTTACTGATCGGAGAGGTGGCACCGGGTGATATCGGTGAAACTGGGATGGACTGTTGGTAAGTAGATATTAAGTAGACATAAACACATTGTAAATAAGTCGATTAGTAGCGCTACATATATGTACTCCTTCATACATATTGATATACATATTAATATATTGCAACATGTTAATGAGATGATAATTAATAACTATAATTTCAGACAGTCACGACACAACACAAGGACGATGTTAACAATATTTTGATTTCTAACAAGGGTTTGGTGATCTAATATGCCATAGTATTTGTCACGGACGTACATAAGAGTTTGCTATGCAAGTGCTATGATACCAATGACGATCTCGTGTGAATTGGAGAAATCACACAAATTGCGAAATATACATACATTTCTAATGCAAATAAGAGATTCTGTGAAAGAACTACTTAGTGTTTGTTTTAACCATTTTTGATAGTGTCCTTGCATATTAAAAAAGCACATGTTACATGGACATGTTTTTTTTTTTTTAGAACATGACGATCGTACTCATTCCTGTGAACGCAGTAAAACCTTCAACCACTGCGTTGTATGATGTCATTGGTTAAATATATATTTGAGGAGTGCATTTATGATGAAATCTCACAAAATCTTCATCATATATTATTACCATAAATAGATATCAAATCCCTGATGACACACATAAATGTATGGTACCTGGTAAAAGCAACTGTACAAGACATCCTCATTTTTTTCTACTACAGATTTAACCACAACTAAAATTTATTAGTTTTTTACAAATGGAGCAAAGCTGCATAGAGTTCTCTCATTGACAACTTCTACGAAACAACTGTTTGTTGGTATTTGTAAATATTGATCAATATTCAAAATAAA